ATTAGGAGCCAGTGGTCCAGGATTGTCAGAGGAATGTCCGACTGCCGGTTTAGGCCCGATCCCCGGCAGTCGGACATCCCCCAAGGGGTCCTGAATTGGAGAGGGTGCAGGCTGAGCTGAGGGGACCACCTCCATGCACAAATTTCATGCACCAGGCCTCTAGTATAACAATAATAATAATAATAATAATAATATATGGCATCATAATAACATACTATATAATGCCAGGGCAATATAAATATCAGAAAATAAATTCTCCAGGCTGCTTGAAACCAAAACCTATCAAAGTGAAATCACTGTCTTTTGGTGTTTTTCTCTTAAGAGGTTTCCTTTCCTTGTCCATCTGCTATTTCTTCCCTTATCTCTCTACCCCACCCTTCCAACTCATCCAGACTTTATTATCTGGAGCATATACTCTTTTTTAAAATATATATATATATATTTTATTGATTTCAGAGAGGAAGTGAGAGCTAGAAACATCAATGATGAGAATCATTGATCAGCTGCCTCCTGCATGCCCACTACTGTGGATCAAGCCTGCAACCCTTGGGCATGTACCCTTGACCTGAATCAAACCCGGGACCCTTCACTCTGCAGGCCGATGCTCTATCCACTGAGCCAAACTGGCTAGGGCAGCAAATACTCTTTTGCTATCAATCCTTTCCCAGGAGGAAGTGCCATCCTAAGTACCATCTGACTGATTTAACCCCTTAGACACCTGGTGAACACTCCTTACACATTTACTAGTACTGCCAGCTTCAATTTCTGTGCCACACCCTTAGTGGTTGGTTTGTTTTCTAACGTAAGGTTACTATTTCAAAAAAGATATTATTTTCACAGAAAAACAAAAATGAAAGGAATATTCTATTAGTTAAGAGGTAAATAGCAACTTACTTCCAGAAGTTTAATCTTCCACCATTACGGGCATCATTTATAATAGGGCCGATTCCCCCTTGAATCACTGAAGCTTGTATAAGCACAGAAACAAATCCCGCCAGCATGATCCCGACTTGAAACACATCTGTCCAGACAACTGCTTTAAGACCACCCTTTGAAGGGAAAGTGTATTAGGATTAATGTTTCTATCATACATTATTAAGCACCTGTATGCTTATGCATTATGCTGTAAAAACTTATTGAATACATGGATATTGGCCAAGAAGTGCACCCCAGAGAGACAGGTTGGAAGAGCCTTCAAGAGCAGGTGATATTTAAGCCAAACTTTCAAACATACGAGAGGCAAAGATAGAAGGTTTTCCCAGCAGAGAAAACAGCATGGGTGAAAGCATAGATAGGTCAAATTATATGTCATGTTGAATGTAGACAGATATGTATTTTGGAGTAAAGTGGAGTGGTATGGAGAGATTGTTGGGAAGAAAATTCAGAATCAAATTGCAACAGCCATAACATAGATTTTTATCCGATAGGCAGGGCTGATATTCAAACACTATGCACACAGGTCATATCAATTGTTGAAACACTAAAACTTTTTTTGTATTAGCCACTGCCACACACTTCCTGAGTATCCCCCTTCATTCCCTTGACCTTGGCTGAAACAGCCCCTCCTTTTAGGAGGGGGCCCTATCTCCTAAAAGATCCAGCAATTAAAGGGTTAAAATCTAACCCACCACAGATCCCATAAGACTTGCACCACTCTAAGGACCAGCATCCATGGAAGTATCAGTGCCCTTGCCATACTGGTTCTTCAATATTTTGACTGTCACTAAAGGCAATGGAAAGTTATCTCAGGTTTCTGAGCTGAGGAATAATATAAACACAGCTATAATAACTTGGCAACAGTAAGGCTGAATTAGGAGATAAGATTAGGGACCATTGCATGGTTCAGATGAAAGAAAACATTTTCAGTTATGATGAATGTTCTACAAAGGATCAAATTTTACCCCAGACTGAATATTCCTTACCAAAAAAAAGTTATACTGTGGGAGGTAGGAGAGTAGGTGTGAACAACCCTGACTGCAGCACACAGCTACTGGAATTTTCGATTTTGCAAAAGCAAGTGTGTAGAGTGAAAGGAGAAACAATGTTCTTGACATACCAGCGTGCAGTAGAATGTGCAGACCACCCCTGTAGCCACCACTGCGCCCCACAGATCAAATCCTGTGACTGTCGAAGAAAAGAAAATGCATGTGTAACTATGAACCATGTATAATAAAAGTACTTCTCAAAAAAAAAATCAGGGGGAAGCCATATCCTTTATTGGGTACCTACCTCTTTCCCACCTGCCTAAAACTAAGTCCAAATCTTGTAAGATGTACCAAAACAATTGGAGTTTAAAGTTCTATCTGATGAGTTAAATAGACCTGGTTTCTACCCTCAGACACCATACATAGATCCAAAAATAGCTAAATTAAATACATTAAAACACATTTGCATTGTAATTAAGCTAAGAAATGGCTTAATACTATGAGGTAGTTATTTGGACTGAATGGAGTTCTAGGTATGGTACTTGTCACCATGGTTCAAATAAACACACTATCCTACCAACCCTTGAAAGAAAGTTGTCCATGTTACTAAAATGGGACTAAAGTAGAGAAAAGTCTATATAAGTTTCTACCATTTACCTAAGTAGTAGAGGGACATATTATATTATATAAAATAGAAGAATGACTCCATGGCCACAAATTTGATAATGAAACAGTTCCTTGAAAGACATAATTTGCCACAATTCACACAAGAAGAAATAGGTGACCTGAGTAGACTAGATCCATTAAACAAATTGAATTCATATTCTTCCAAATCAGAAAGCTTCAGCCTAGATAGGTTTACTGGTGAATCTTAGCAAACATTTATAGAAAAAATTATACCAACTCTCTTCAGAGGACAGAAGCAGAGGAAATACTTCCTAACTCACTCTATGAGGCCAGCATTAACCTAATACCAAAAACAAAGACATTGCAAGAAAAGAAAACTACAGACCAATATCTCCAATAAACACAGATGCAAAAGTCCTCAACAAAATATTAGCAGATCTGCCGAAACTGGTTTGGCTCAGTGGATAGAGCGTCGGCCTGCGGACTGAAAGGTCTCAGGTTTGATTCCGGTCAAGGGCATGTACCTGGGTTGCGGGCACATCCCCAGTAGGAGATGTGCAGGAGGCAGCTGATCGATGTTTCTCTCTCATCGATGTTTCTAACTCTCTATCTCTCTCCCTTCCTCTCTGTAAAAAATCAATAAAATATATTTAAAAAACAAAACAAAAAACAAAAAAAATATTAGCAGATCTAATGATAAAAGTGTAAAAAAAATTATACACCATGACCAAGTGGGGTTTATCCCACATATGCAAGGGTTTCAGCATAAAATAAGAGACAAAATATAAAACCAAATTAGGCAAATACCCAAATTTGAATTTGAAAAAGTGGAAATATTAATATGTTTTTATTGATTTCAAAGAGAGGAAGGGAGAGGGAGAGAGGGATAGAAATATCAATGATGAATCACTGATGGGCTGCCTTCTGCATGCCCCCTACTGGGGTTCAAGCCCGCAACCCCGGGCATGTGCCATGACTGGGAATTGAACCCTGACCTCCTGGTTCATGAGTTGATGCTCAATCATTGAACGACACTGGCCTGGCTAGTATAAACTCTTAATTTAAGTTTTATTTAATATATATCCCCTAGTTCTGTCCACTGAAAAGACCTAGAATAGATGGGGCCAGGAAATTTACAAAGTAAGACTGAAACATCTTGCCATTCCAGAAAGCAAGGTAGCTATTAAACACTACTGGAAATCATGTCAAAAGAATTCAAGAGGTAACTTAAAGAGGACCCTGCTGGACAAAAATGAGGTATTAATGTTAATGTTTTAAATATAATGATGGTATAACAATATTTTAAAAATACATCCTGGTACAAGCGTTATAAAATACATAAGTCATGGGAAAGTAATGTACAGCATGGTGAATATAGTTAATAATACAGTTTTGCATATTTGAAAGTTGCTAAGGGAGAAGATCTTAAAAACTCTCATCAGAAGAATAAGAAATTTTGTAACCACATATGATGGTGAATGTTAACTAGACTTATTGTGGTGATCATTTAGCAAAATACACAAATATTGAATCATGTTGTATACCTGAAATTAACATCATGATACATGTCAATTAAACTCAGTGAGGGGGGAAAGCATGTATTTATTTTTAAAAGCCATTGAATTAATAAAAATGATAAATTATCTCAGATTTACAGCAAAATAATCTAGTGAGAGAAACAGGGAGTGAATTAAACCAAGAATTAAGAATTATTAGTGTAGGGATAAGGATACATTAGGGTTCAATATACTATCCTCTCTATTCTAGTAGATGCTCAAAGTTTTCCTTGAAAAAGGAAGACTTGACCTAGAGAATGTTCAGCTCCCATTCAGTTAAAGTAAGTTTCTACTGAGCACCTGTTACACAGTAAGTAATATGTCCACTGTCTTGGCAACTGTGAAATACACAATTGATATTCAAGTGGTCAAAATACAGTCCCTCAGGTTCTCATTTATTCCAAGGGAGTTGCTCAATAAACTGGTAAGAACAGAGTCCTTGGTTTCTTTACATATTGAAGGTACTGCTCTCTTTTTCCTAGAACTGCACTTTAAACCCTAAAGTCAACACCTTCTTAACACTTAAAGCCAATACGTAACTTATGAAGTTTACAGCTCAGTTTTTTACATATGAAGTGATTCATTTATGATGTTGGTACTATTGACATAGAACATGCCCCACATTCAGAAGTCAAGAGCACATTTTGTAATGGAATTATTCTTTGTAACGATACTGTTGTACTTTATAAACTTGGGTGATAACTACTATCTATCTATCTTAAAATTTTAAAAAATTAGTGTGGAGTAAGCAAGGTGTTTTGTGGTGTGTGTGTGTGTGTGTGTGTGTGTGTGTGTGTGTGTGTATGTGTGTGTGTTTTCATTTTATTGTACCACGTTCTTCTCATCACAGAATCCATTTGTCCATTTTACAAGGAAGTTTTAGACGTAAACTCCCTTCTAATGGATAAGAATTCAAAGAATGTGGAGTTTCCCTGAAGCCTTTTGAAAATCTGACTAACATGAGCGTAGGCCTCAATAAACTATCCCAGTTTCACTGCTATTATCTGCCCAAATCCAGAGAATATAATAATTTGTTGATCAGCACAACCTTCACACATTTGTTTATAAGAACCCTATAGCCATCTGTCCTTTTGTCACTAGGAGCAGTCAGGTATTTCAGAGCACACAGATCTATTTCTTTTACATTTTGGACCACATTAGAAGTGAGAAGAAAAGATTCTCTCCCTTCCAGATTTTACAATGTAACTGAGCCAAATAACAAAGGGGGCGGGGAAGCCTCATGGAGATGGGCTGGCCTCATGGAGATGGGCTGAAGGTTGTAGCCACAGAGAGGAAGTACAGTCCTTCACTATTTAGACTATAGGAGGTGCTCATTCTGAAGGGATAGAGAATGGCTGTTTGGTACTTCCCAGAGACTCACTTGCCCAGTGAATTCTGTCCTAAAGTGCAAACCTTTTGAAGCTATGGATCCAAGAACCCAAAGAAACTGCTAGTGTAGACACTGAGCCCACCTTTCCTAATTCAAGCTGATGCATGTTATTGGAAGCATTCCTCCAGCTCCCCATCTCCCAGAGAATAAGGTCTACTCAAAATGAACCCCCAAAATGACATAATTGGTAACTCTAAAATGTACCTTGATTCAACGCCAGGGCAGGGGCATAAATAACAATTCCAGTATACAGAACCTGGGGAGGAAAAGAAGACCAAATAAATTATATGAATTACAATATCAATATTTTTCTACAACTTCAATTATGAATTAAAACAGCAGTTTCAATACACTTAATAAAATTTGTTTATAACTTGAAAATGTTATTTAAGTAAGGTTGGTTCTCCTTTTCTAGTTGTGGTATCATCATAGGTTACAAAAATCTCTTACGACCTATTTTGTGTAAAAATAGGGACTCTCACCCTGGCTGGTGTGGCTCAGTTGGTTGAGCATCATCCTGATCACCAAAACGTTGCTAGTTTGATTCCCGGTGAGGGCACATGCCCAGGTTGCGGGCCAAATACCTCGTAGGGGTGCATGCAGGAGGCAACTGACCCATGTTTCTCTGTCACATTGATATTTCTCTTTCTCTCTCAAAGTCAATAAAAACATAATTTTAAAAAATAGGGACTCTTCATGTGGTACTTAGTGTAGATAGTGATCCATCAACACAAGCTAGATATCAATTTTCCTAGATCTAAAATAAGTAAAAAGAAATAACGTAAATTTAAAAGTGGATGGTCCCTAATTCTTATGCCTTCAAACAATTGTTAATCACTGCATATTTAATTAGGAAAACTGAAAATTTTGGAAACTGGTTGGTAAAAGTTTGTATGTCCATTAATTAAACAAAAGTGTAAATTTGCCCTATAAACTGCTGAAAGTCAACCAAAATTGCATTTCATCTTGTTTTTATATTATTCATTTTGTTCATTCGTATATGTAATAAATATTTATTAATCTGGGTACAATAGTGAATAAGATAAATAAGGTCTTTTTTTCTCAAAATATCATCTTCATTGCACTTGATCTTTCAAATATATCACATAGAAGCTAATTCTATGATCACTCTATACAAACATATTATGAAAAGAATCATATTATGTAGTATTAGAAGTCAGTCCTTCGTATGGGAGATGCTAAAGCTCCCCTCTTTTTGTAAGAATGAACTAGCTTTCCAGTCATTACTCTATCTAAGTTGAAGATTTGAAAATGTTACCACAGGCCACCTTCTTAACACTAGTCCCCACTTTTCATTTCTGTTGGTATTTCTAACAATGATCCAAAGAGGGTCTGAACTGTTAGTAAATACAAGCTACTGGTCTCAGCTCTGTGTCACAATGTCTACTATACCCCAAAGGGCCCCTTCCTTTTATACTGCAAGTGTTAAGGACTGACATAAGTTATGTAATTCACAAAGATATAAATTGGAGTCTAGCCAACTAATTTACAAAGGCACTCTGCCATGCTATAGCAAATGCTCAGGTAGTTTTTGATTGGAGAGATGATCTATATATATAAAAGCCTAAGTGACCATCATAACCGAATGGACGGCCGAACAGGCTGCGTGGGGCGAACAGGCTGGCAGCGGGGTTAGTGAGGGGTGACCAAACGACCGAGCAGCAGGCTGTGTGGGGCGACTAGGCCGGCAGGGAGGGCAGTGAGGGGCAACCAGGCTGGCAGGGGGAGGGGGCAGAGAGAGGTGACCAGGCCAGCAGAGAGGGGCAGTGAGGGGCAACCAGGCTGGCAGGGGGAGGGGGCAGTTAGGGTGACCAGGCTGGTGGGGGGGCAATTGGGGGTGACCAGGCTGGCAGGGGAGGCAGTTAGGGGTGATTAGGCAGGCAGGCAGGCAGATGAGCAGTTAGAAGCCAGTGGTTCCGGATTGTGCGAGGGATGTCCTGGGGATCGGGCCTAAACCGGCAGTCGAACATCCCCCAAGGGGTCCCGGATTGGAGAGGGTGCAGGCTGGGCTGAGGGGACCCCCCCCATGCATGAATTTCATGCACTGGGCCTCTAGTATTATAAATAAAGATGAGAATGAAAACTTCTTCCTAAACTTCCATTATCAAGCCCATCCCTAAAGCACTTAGCTGCCAAGAGAATATAGATAGAAATCATGTGACAAAGATCATGACAAGCCTCCAGCAGCCGGATGGAGGGCGGGAAGCAATCTCTGGCACTGACTGCTTGGCAAATCTTTGCTTCCCATTATGTCAATCAGTGAATCCATACTTGCACACTCTTGAATTACTGGATTGTGTGGTTGGCTTTAAAAACACCTTTAGAGTGTATGGCTCTATTGTTTTACCCTCAGTGACTGCTTCAGTTGGGTTTCAGGTTCCATTTTTAAAAGAGAGAACACATTCACTTTTTAAGTATGCTTTCAAAGATATTTCCTAATGTCTTCCTACATCAGTTTTTTCAAACCTATTATTTCACATGTTGCAAAAGTACTATGAAACATACAACTTGTTTCCCCAGTGTCACAATTCCTGTTCTCAGCTACTAAAGCTCTTTCAAAAGTCTTTGTCATCTCAGTAATGCCCTTACTGTCACTTGGGTGGGGAGGAGCGATGGGGAAAAGCGTATTTTTCTAAAACAATATAACTATTGTTTAATCAATATAATATTTAACATTCACTTATATCATTCTGTTTCCCAGGGGAAAATTCATTTGTTAAACACTGCTCACTGTTTGTTAAAACACTGATCTTATGGGTTGATGCTGTGTATTGACCAGTGTTTTTGCTTTTTTGTTTCCTCCTATTTTCAACATCTCTTTTTATCTTTCATGTGTTCACCAAAAAAGTGTGACCCTAATGCCTTGATTAAAAACATTCTAGATGACAAAAGGTAAAAATTAAAGGACTGTTACTTACTGTTTGAATAATGTAGACGATTGTTCCACAGAGACGAACATATTTGTTAAATCGAAGTTCTAAATACTGTTTCCAAAAAAGAAAAAAATGGTTAATATGTGAAACTTCTGGACACTTTTTTTAAATCAGCAGCTTAAGAAATAAAGAACTCATACAGAACAGTTCCCTCACCCCCAGAAAACTCCCTTATGCTGCTCTTTTGTAGCCAAACCCTCCATATTCTTCCAATATTTTTAAATATATATCTTTATTGATTTCAGAAAGGAAGGGAGAGATAGACACATCAATGATGACAGAGAATCATGGATCAGCTGCCTCCTGCATGACCCAACCGGGAATCGAGCTGTGACCTCCTGGTTCATAGGTCGACACTCAACCATTGAGCCACGCCAGCTGGGTTTCCAATAATTTTTTAACCTAAATCAGTCCATGTCAATTTCTGTTCAGAGCTAACAACCTTGCCATTCTTCCAACTCTCCTTGACATCTGTTATATCTCATAATATAGTCTGCTCACCTCCTATATTATATATCAGAACTAGAGGCCAGATGCACAAAATTCATGCAAGAGTAGGCCTTCCTTCCCCTGGCTGCCAGCACTGGCTTCCCTCTGGCACCCAGGACCCGGGCTTCCCTCTGGCTGCCAGCAGGCACCAGGGACCCAGGTTCCTCTCACAGCCCCGGCTTCATCCAGAAGGTCGTCCGGAAGGATGTCCAGTCTAATTAGCATATTCTGCTTTTATTATTATAGATGTATTATAGAGTTAGAATCCTAGAACTTCACAGGTGGAATGAAGCTGGAGTCTAAGACATTCTTTCACTTAAATATTATTATCACATGTAGAGTGAATTTTAAGACTGACAATAGTCTTTTCATAAAGTAGAAAAAAAGAGGGAAAAAAACCTGACATTAGGTAATAAACAGGGGAAAAGATATTTTTGCTTCATAATCACAGTTAACATTTATAAAGTATTTACTTTGTATACTGTCCTCTCAACAACTACATGAGTAGGTGTCTTATATAATAAAGAGGTAATATGCCAATTGACCATCACGCCCTCGCACAAGATGGCCGCCCCCATGTGGTCACAAGATGGCCGCCACAAGATGGCCGGCAGGGGAGGGCAGTTAGGGGCGACCAGGCCAGCAGGGGAGGACAGTTAGGGGTGACCAGGCCAGCAGGGGAGGGAGGGCAGTTAGGGGAGACCAGGCCGGCAGAGGAAGGCAGTTTGGGATAACCGGGCCAGCAGGGGAGGGCAGTTGGGGGTGACCAGGCCAGCAGGGGAGGGAGGGCAGTTAGGGGCGACCAGGCCAGCAGGGGAGGGAGGGCAGTTAGGGGCGACCAGGCCAGCAGGGGAGGGAGGGCAGTTAGGGGCGACCAGGCCAGCAGGGGAGGGAGGGCAGTTAGGGGCGACCAGGCCAGCAGGGGAGGGAGGGCAGTTAGGGGCGACCAGGCCAGCAGGGGAGGGAGGGCAGTTAGGGGCGACCAGGCCAGCAGGGGAGGGAGGGCAGTTAGGGGCGACCAGGCCAGCAGGGGAGGGAGGGCAGTTAGGGGCGACCAGGCCAGCAGGGGAGGGAGGGCAGTTAGGGGCGACCAGGCCAGCAGGGGAGGGAGGGCAGTTAGGGGCGACCAGGCCAGCAGGGGAGGGAGGGCAGTTAGGGGCGACCAGGCCAGCAGGGGAGGGAGGGCAGTTAGGGGCGACCAGGCCAGCAGGGGAGGGAGGGCAGTTAGGGGCGACCAGGCCAGCAGGGGAGGGAGGGCAGTTAGGGGCGACCAGGCCAGCAGGGGAGGGAGGGCAGTTAGGGGCGACCAGGCCAGCAGGGGAGGGAGGGCAGTTAGGGGCGACCAGGCCAGCAGGGGAGGGAGGGCAGTTAGGGGCGACCAGGCCAGCAGGGGAGGGAGGGCAGTTAGGGGCGACCAGGCCAGCAGGGGAGGGAGGGCAGTTAGGGGCGACCAGGCCAGCAGGGGAGGGAGGGCAGTTAGGGGCGACCAGGCCAGCAGGGGAGGGAGGGCAGTTAGGGGCGACCAGGCCAGCAGGGGAGGGAGGGCAGTTAGGGGCGACCAGGCCAGCAGGGGAGGGAGGGCAGTTAGGGGCGACCAGGCCAGCAGGGGAGGGAGGGCAGTTAGGGGCGACCAGGCCAGCAGGGGAGGGAGGGCAGTTAGGGGCGACCAGGCCAGCAGGGGAGGGAGGGCAGTTAGGGGCGACCAGGCCAGCAGGGGAGGGAGGGCAGTTAGGGGCGACCAGGCCAGCAGGGGAGGGAGGGCAGTTAGGGGCGACCAGGCCAGCAGGGGAGGGAGGGCAGTTAGGGGCGACCAGGCCAGCAGGGGAGGGAGGGCAGTTAGGGGCGACCAGGCCAGCAGGGGAGGGAGGGCAGTTAGGGGCGACCAGGCCAGCAGGGGAGGGAGGGCAGTTAGGGGCGACCAGGCCAGCAGGGGAGGGAGGGCAGTTAGGGGCGACCAGGCCAGCAGGGGAGGGAGGGCAGTTAGGGGCGACCAGGCCAGCAGGGGAGGGAGGGCAGTTAGGGGCGACCAGGCCAGCAGGGGAGGGAGGGCAGTTAGGGGCGACCAGGCCAGCAGGGGAGGGAGGGCAGTTAGGGGCGACCAGGCCAGCAGGGGAGGGCAGTTGGGGGCAATCGGGCCTGCAGGGGAGCATAGGTGGGGAGCTGTTAGGTGTCGATCAGGCTGGCAGGGGAGTGGTTAGGGGAGATCAGGCTGGCAGGCAGAAGCAGTTAGGGACAATCAGGCAGGCAGGCAGACAGGCAGGCAGGCGAGGGTTTGGGAGCCAGCAGTCCCAGATTGTGAGAGGGATCAGGCCTAAATTGGCAGTCAGACATTCCTCAAGGTGTCCCAGATTGGAGAGGGTGCAGGCTGGGCTGAGGGACACCCCCCTCCAGTGCACGAATTTTGTGCACCAGCCTCTAGTTAAGTATAAATGCATGAGGAAATGGGCTCAGAGAGAACCCCAATGTTGCAACCTAATAATTGTCAGAGCCACGATGCAAATCTAAGAACATTTGATGCCAAAAGCTGTGCATGTAACCACTACATTATTTAAAATAAACAAATAAACAAACTGACCACTAAGACTCCTATAGAGTGAGTGATAGCATTGGCACATAGTAGAACCTCCAAAAATAACTAATGGATAAAAGTTATGCAGTATAGCACATTAGGGGAATAGTTCTAGCCCTTGTCCCAACCTTACTCCTGACTCCATCAGCTTGGGGCAGTCACTCAAAATCTCATGTTCCTTCCTCTTGAAAATGAGATCTTATAAATAATTCTTTCCTCTCTTGCTGTGCAAGGTTTTGGAGACTATCCTATATAATAAGGAGCTAATATACAAATGGTCGCATACCCACATGCCATCACGCCATAACGGCTCAGACACTCAACACTGGGGAGAGAGGAATGGGGACCAGCCAGGCATAAATGAGCTTGTGAGAGAGAAATGGGGACCAGCCAGGCTGCGGCCCAGGAAAGGGACAAGCTGCCCGCCCTGCAGTCCTGTGTGCCAGCGGCTGCACCTGTGCCTGCAGCCCGGGAGAGGGACAAGCCACACACCCCGCGGTCCTGGGTGCCAGTGGCTGCACCTGCGGCCCAGTCCAGGAGAGGGACAAGCCGCCCAGGAGAGGGACAAGTTGCCTGCCCCTTGGTCCTGGGCACCAGCAGCTGGGGCTGTGGCCTGGGAGAAGGACAAGCCGCCCACCCGGCAGTCCTGGGCGCCTGCGACTGCGGCCAACCCAGGCAAAGCTGGCCCGGGTCCTGGGTGCCTGCAGCTGGCCAGAGGGAGGGAAGCCCGGGTCCTGGGTGCCTGTGACCGGCCAGAGGAGGGAATCCTGGGTCCCGGGTGCAGGATGAGGCAGAGGAGGTTAGGGGGGATCAGACAGGCAGGCAGAGGGGTTAGGGGCAATCAGGCAGGCAGGCAGGCAGGCAAGCAGTTAGGAGCCAGCAGTCCCGAATTGCAAGAGGCAGTCGGACATCCCCCGAGAGATCCCGGATTGGAGAGGGTGCAGGCCGGGCTGAGGGACCCCAACCTCTGTGCACGAACTTCTTGCACTGGGCCTCTAGTCCTATATAATAAAAGGCTAATATGCAAATCGGCGGAAAACTGGTCGCTATGATGCGCACTGACCACCAGGGGGCAGATGCTCAATGCAGGAGCTGCCCCTGGTGATCAGTGTGCTCCCACAGGGGAAGCGCCGCTCAGTCAGAAGGCGGGCTCACAGCTGGCAAGTGCAGCAGTGGTGGCAGGAGCCTCTCCTGCCTCTGTGGCAGTGCTAAGGACCCCTCAGCGGACATCCCCGGAGGGGTCCTGAACTGGGAGAGGGCGCAGGCCAGGCTTGGGGACCCCCCACCCCCCACCCCCAGTGCACGAATGTCATGCACTGGACTTCTAGTCAAATGATATAAATGGATGGGAAAATGTTGTAAACTGTTCATTCAGAAGAAAGACATGTAGTTGGTATTCAAATCCATAGGCCTTTAGAATTTGAATCTCAGTGAATTACATGTCAAAATCATCCAAGGATAATTTGGAAGACATTTTAGAAGACCCATCACATAAGCTTGGAAACAGGGCAGTGTTATCTCTTCAGAATATTTTTAGTAAAACTATTAAAAATGAATGTACATGAACAGACAGAGAAGTATTTGCCTTTTCTGGGTATATGCATCTAAATTGCTGGAAATTAAAGAAAACTGAAGAGAAAAATGTGATGAAGTTAAGAATGTATATAGTGAGTTGAACCAAATAACTTGGTTCAACTAAGTTAATTCTCCTATCCCTCCCTGCCCCCCGAGGTTGCTGGATCCAGGAAAACCTAAGGATTTAACCTCACACAAGACCAACTCAAGACAGAACCAAGAAGTCTATCATTATCTCAGCTATCAGTGGTTACTGGGCTGCTAAAGAAATACCTGGAGACCTTCCAGAAGCTCAAGTCACTGAAAAGTAGGTTCAGAGAAGAGCTTAGGACTTCCAGACAAAGCTAGAGAAAAATAATAGGTGCCTATAGTCAATCAAGATCGGTTATAGTCCTCAGAATTTTGAATAATTTAGAGACAACAAAACTTCTACTGAATAATTTTTAAGAGTCTGGACAATTCAGTTCAAACACACAGATTTCACTGGATCCAGAAAGATAAGGAAGAAGTGATGAGTGAAATTGCATTCCTGCATTTTACTCTTATCTGTGACTCTGGAAGTTGCTAAACTCCTATCAGGACTATACTTTGAAGGCAGTGATAAATAGATGTCAAAAATGCTTCTGAACAGCCGATTTTGGCTAACTGTAAACGGCGAAATTTCATACTTGAGTGAGAATGCCAGTATCACTCAATGCTGAACTTCTTATTCTGTATGGGTGGCTTTTCACTCACCATAAAACAAAATATTCCTCCAGAAGACTCACCAGAGCCTTCAGAAGCCGCCAATATGCCCCACTGCACAGCCTCTGGGCAAGTGTCTGCTTTGCTTCATGCTCTCTTATGTAGCTTAATTTATTCTGAGCCTCTTTGTCTGCGAAGTGGGGCTCTCATAGTACCTCCCTTATAAGGACTGTTTTGAGGACCGAGTTTGATAATGTACATAAAACAGGCAGCCAGTGCCTAGAATACACAGTAAACATTAGTGGTTTTCTTGCTTGTTTTAGCTGGAACCCTCCTAACTTAGCCTCCAGCACTCAGGAAATGTGTGGGAAATGCGTTTCTGGTTGAGTTAACGCGTGCCCTGCAGGGGCACGGGTCAGTGGTTATGAGAGCAGCATTCACCTGTGAAAACTGAAGTCCTCTTACCAGATTCTTCGAACTCTTTCTGTGTGTTGGACTTGGTTAACTACAGATCAGAGCTCACAGACTCAAATGCCTACAGGTCCCATCAGGTAACATGCATGAGGTGAGTGGCATTGGCCAGGTGTCCCTATATTAATATGTTGGAATATTCCCCATGTCCACTAAGAAATACATTCTCTCCCAGCTCCCTTGAAACAATAACTCCCTTCAACCCTGCACAGTTTCCCTTTTGCATTTTTGATAAAGTCATAAATGCAGATTAAGAATGATCTTTCTAGCACAAGAAAGTAACCATGCAAATGCAACAATGAGACCTCCATACAGAAATAAGGAGTGACGCCCTAGCTGATTTGGCTCAGTGGATAGAACATCAGCCTGCGGACTGAAGGGTCCCAGGTTAGATTCTGGTCAAGGGCACATGCCTGGGTTGTGGGCTCTATCCCCAGTGTAGGGCATGCAGGAGGCAGCTGATCAATGATTCTCTCTCATCATTGACATTTCTATCTCTCTCCTTCTCCCTTCCTCTCTGAAATCAACAACAAAAAAATTTTAAAAAAGAAATAAGGACTGATAGCAATTGCTGTAAATTGGAGTTCCTGTGGCCACAGGGGATATGGGCTCGGTATCACCAGTCTTTTGGGTTTCCAAAAGAAGCCAGAATCTGGAATTTTATTTGACTTCCACTATCATTAAATGCTAAATTCTTTTTTTCCCCAAAACACCATAAAAGTAACAAAACAAAAAAAATGACTGAAAAATGAATTTGGCCTGGAGCAGCCAATTTGATACCTTTGAGCAAAACAGAAATTGCATCCTGCTCACTTCTAGGGTGATGAATGAGTGCTCCCAAACACAATGACCAGAGATGAAGGCAATGCTGGCCCAGGTGTGCCTTTCCCTGGATGACATCACCAGAACCCATGATGTTTGTCACCATCACTTAGTGTGCCATTTGGGCCCCGTCCACAGCACCAGTTGAACCAGCCTTACTAGGAAACCACTTTCCAGTGACTCCGGATTGCAGCAAACACTAAGCTCTAGGACAGAGGCAGCTGCTGAGAATGAGGCTCTGATCCCTCCGGATAATGGCCTATTAGAGAGGAAACTTCTGCAGGTTTGTGTATGTGGCTCGTGGGTTAGTGCCTGGTTGAAGGAGACCACTGAGGGCACTGAACCGGGCCCCACCCGTTCCCTGAGCTTTTATCCTCCCCAACACTCCCATTCAACAGCTTTTTAAACCAAACACGCACCATCTTTGCAAAGCCCTTTCCTGCAGACAACTTGAGAAAAACTATAACCAGTGGACCTGCGCAACAGGAAAGATGGTTTTCCTTAAGCACCCTTCCGTAGTGAGAGAGGGTAGAACTGTTTAAGAACCTCACAACTTCCTAGTGATCCCAAGATAATCACCTCTACCACCAGCACGCCAATAACGATAGCGAATATCTATTCAGCACTTACCCTGTAGCAGACACTATTTTCATTGGTACACTTGCATCATCTCATTTAACCCTCCCAACGACTGAGTGAGATAGGTGGTGTTATTATTTTCATTTTGAAATGAACAGGCACAAAAGGTTAAATTAAGTCACCCAAGGTTCCCTAGCTAAGTAAGTGGTGGAATCTGGTCTCAAACGCAGGTACTGAGATGAGAGATACAGCACCTTAACCCCTGGGGCGCCTGCCTCTCTTTGGAAAACGCCTGTGTGGAAGGGGAATGTTTCCCCAACTATCCTGGGAAAGTGATTGGTCCCTGAGAATCTGGAACAAGGAGATTCACTTCAAGGAGGAGGAGCTGAGACTGGTAAAACCTACCCTCCCCCAAGATAAAAAGTTTTAAAATCTTTCTTCTTGACTCAGAATCACAGACTTTGCCGAAAGGGCCTTAGCGAGCACTAGTCCCAATCACTCCATTTACTTTGGAAGCCTCTCTTTTTCCCTGAGATCCTGAGAGTAAGTCCCAGGATTTTTTTTTTCCCCCCCTCTTCCCTAAAGGGGAGGTCTGGGGAGGAGATGGACCTGCACGGGGAGAGATATCAACTTGGTGGTGAGTCTGCTCCTGGAAAATCCCGTCAGGAGCCTGACGAGTCCTCCCCTCTACCCTCCCCAGCCCACCCTCTGACCCTTTACCTCGTAGGTGCTGGTAATTCCCAGTTTATAGAACACCGGGAGGAAGATCTCCGCGCTGATGACCACCACAAGGAGGTAGGTGATGCCAAAGAGGCTGAATATAGCCCCAAAACGGTAGACCTCGGTGGGGGTGCCCAGGACAGTGACCGCGGACATGAAGCTGGCGGTAAGGGACAGCGCCACCGGCACGGCACTCATCCGGCGGCCGCCCATCAGAAAGTCCTTGGAGGTCTGCTGTTTGTCCCCCGCGAAGGCGTAATAGATGCCGATGGCGGCCGAGATGAGCAGCATCCCAGCGAACACCACGTAGTCCCACACCACGAAGGTGCCGATACCCCGCGACGGGTCCATGGCTCACGGTCGCCGGGTGCACCTGCGCGCAAACTGGCGAGTCCAAGGAGCACAGCCCGAGCTGCTGCTTTCCCTGGGCGGCCTGGCGCGCACTTCTTATTTCTCCGCGCGGCGGGGCGTGGCGCCCTGCGGGGATTGGAGGCGTCCTCCAGGTGTCTGTCCCCGACAGTCCTACCCGCGAAGTGGGCAGGGGGATAGGCGCTGGCAGCAACCTCTGCACCCACCACAGCCAATGGAGCCCTCGATTGGGGACTTCGGGGGCCCCCCCACCCCAAGCCCAGCTAAGTACCGGCCAGGTGCCCGGCCGGGGTGGCCCGGATCTCCCTGGCGCCGCGGAACTGGAGCCTCCAGCCACGTCTGACGAATGCGCTGGGAGCGCTCAGCACAAATTTTATCAGCTGCTCGCAATAATAAGATGCACCATTTAAATGAGCAGGCCACTGATGCGGGAGTGTGGGGCGAAGGGCAGTGGTCACGCCTTGACTTTTAGCTTTCCGGTTCAAAAGTCCGGGTCCTTATGAGAAGATACGCCTGGAATTTTTAGATTGCCTTATTTAGAAATTAATGGCCACTGAGCTGAGGTGCCCGTCCTGGGGCAGGTAAGCGATTCTAAAGGAGAGGAGGAAGTCTGTGCTGTTGTGAGCACCTGAAGGGTCCCAGGTTCGATTCTGGTCAAGGGCACATGCCTAGGTTGTGGGCTTGATCCCCAGTAGGGGACGTGCAGGAGGCAGCCAATCAATGAATCTCTCTCATCATTGATGTTTCTATCCCTCTTTCCCTCTCCTTTCCTCTCTGAAATCAATAAAGATATATATTTTTTCATTCAAAAAATATTGTTGATGCCCAACAGTCTCCATAGAAATGATAGTTGCTGTAACATTAATACTACCTACTATTTAATAAGCCTTACCATGTGACCTATAACATGCTTGACACCTTAAACATCAAATAGGGATAGGGATCATCTCCATTTTTCAAATGAGGAAACTGGTTTAGAAAGATACCAATGGCCTTATATGCATATATGCATAGCCCACGGACAGACAATAGTGCTGGGAAGGCCTGGAGAGGGGGCTGAAGCTGGGTAGAGGGAATCAATGGGGGGAAGGGGGATATCTGTAATACTTTCAACAATAAAGGTAATTTTTTAAAACCACACACACAAAAACAAAGATTAAATCACTTGCCCAAGGAAATGGTGATTAAGATGTTTAATCCAGATCTGATTTCAGAGTTTGTTCTCTTGGTCACATGCATAGGCATAAATATGTACACTTAAATGAAGGCACTTGAAAGCACACAGAAGACAAGACCATTTCCAGTATCAGTACTGAGGATATATTTTAAGTGGCTTGCCTTGCAATATTACTAATAACTCTCATGAGTCACACTTATAAAACAATGTGATTCTCCAGCTTTTCTTCTAAAATAGACTGTCCAGCCAAATGTGTCCAGGCATAGATAGGTCTATTTCAGGCCATCCTTGTTCATTTCCATACATCTGTATAATTTACCAGTTGGTCTTGGTAAGCAATCCTCAGAATGCATTTAGCCCAGCCCAGGACAAGACTAAAGCTTTTTTTTTTTTTTTTTTTTGTAACCTGGCATTATTTGCATAACATTTTCACAAGGAAAAGGAAATGGAAGTTAAATCCAAGTAATGCAGTTATTTAAATATGTGGTTTGCAATTACATAACAACTGTCACGAGAGAGAGAGAGAGAGAGAGAGAGAGAGAGAGAGAGAGACCTATAAGCATAACACAGAGGAATCTAGCTTAATAATTCTAGCAATTGAATCAATTTTCTAGGAACTTTCTTTAAAGTCAATAGCCCTAACCTGTAGAGTATTATGCTATGCAAAATAAGCCAGTCAGAGAAGACAAGTATCACATGATCTCACTCATACCTAGAATCTAATGAACAAAATAAACTGATGAACAAAATAGATCCAGAGACATAGAAGCATGGAACAGACTGTTGAATCTCAGAGGGAAAAGAGGCGGAGGCTGTGGGAGGGGGGATGGGGGCTGGAAGAGATTAACCTAAGAATTCATATGCATAACCCATGGACACAGACAATAGGACAGTTCCCATCATTTTATGTGACAATTCCACTTATCTCCCATCCGACAGAGCTCAGTCATGTGGCAACATCTAGCTGTAAGGGAGACTGAGAAATAAAGTCTTTGTGCCAAGGGGCCAGGTGCCCAACTAAAAACTGTGGGTCCTATTTCTAAGGAAGAAGGGGAGAATGCATACAGGGGGCAACCAGCTGTCTCTGCCACATCCAACTGAACCACAATTTTCACCAAACAGACTTCTTTCTCAGAGACCAATTTTCCAAGAAATTTACTATTTCCCCATGGATCATCCTTAGCCGACAAAATGAGTTCTCAGATTTAAAAACACAGATCAACTGTGACAATGACTAGTTCCGAGTTTTGTCCATCTCTACTTAAAATTGATAGTCTCCAGTTTCTCCTCCTGTTTTTTCAAACAGCTGTTCTCTCTTTAAGAATCTAGTCAGAAGACCACTGGCACTAGGGCCACAGAGAAGCAGACAGGAGCTGCACAGGAAGTGACAGGGCACTGAGTAGCTGGTGTGATGCCTGGTCACAGTGGGCAAACCCTTCCTTGGTTGCTCATAGCCCTTGAAGAAAGCTTTTCTCAAGAGCATTTTGAAATGTGATCTGCTTTTTTAAATCCCTTTGCATGGATTTTAGGAGCACACTTAGCATGCAGAGTGAAGTAAAGTCAAAGCTCATTAAGATCATGTACAAGGCACTATCCCAATTGTTCTGTTATATGGACGGTGCTATTTTAAGGCTGGCATAGGAAAATGTCTTCATAATATAGAAAATGTTGCTATGACATCTGTTGTAATGAGAATATCTGTGCCAGGCACGCAGTGCAAAAAAGGACAGGATTTCGAGCTCAGAGAAGTTCTAAATACAAGGCTATGATAAAGATTGGTTTGGGCCCGGCTGGTGTGGCTCAGTGGTTGAGCGTTGACCCATGAACCAAAAGGTCACTGGTTCGATTTCCGGTCAGGGCACATGCCCAGGTTTCAGGCTCGATCCCCAGTAAGGAGCATGCAGGAGGCAGCCAATTAATGATTCTCATCATTGATGTTTCTATCCCTTTCTCCCTCTCCCTTCCTCTCTCTGAAATCAATATAGACATATTTTTAAAAAATAATTGGTTTGGGCCCTAGCTGGTTTGGCTCAGTGGATAGAGCATCAGCCTGTGGACTGAAGGGTCCCAGGTTCAATTCTGGTCAAGGGCACATGCCTAGGTTGTGGGCTTGATCCCCAGTAGGGGATGTGCAGGAGGCAGCCAATCAATGAATCTCTCTCATCATTGATGTTTCTATCTCTCTTTCCCTCTCCTTTCCTCTCTGAAATCAATAAAGATATATTTTTTTAAAAAATAATTGGTTTGGGAGTAAATAATACTTAAAATTATGAACAGATCAACAGTTAAGGGAGTTACATGAGTTGACTTGAAATTTATAACTTCATTGGCTTGTTGCCTAAAAGTTATTTTGGTATGAAAACTAGAAATTTCCATCCATAAGGTAAATGACATTAGCTATGAGATACAAATTCTCAATTTTTTGTTTCTCTCCAAAACTTTACTATTCAGTTTTATCCCTCTCACTAATCAATGTACTTACAAACATAAAAATATAAAGTATGCCTACTTAATTCCTTATCACTAGACAGTTCATTCAAGTTTTAGAAGTATAGTTTGTGGAAAATGGCTGTTTAAACCACAATAGTTATTTTACACACTTTTTAAAAGTTCCGTTTTCCTGTGTGCTTTTAAAATCTGGCAAAGTATCTCTTTTCCTAGAAAAGTAATTGATGGCCCTGAAAATGTGTAGTCTGATACATCTTGAAGGCCATGGAGATATATATATAGAGAGAGAGAGCTAACAGAGCCAAGCAGGTTTACCTGGACTGAAACAATATTTGAATTTCCTATAACTCACCTCACACTGCTGGAAAGTGTTCAATTACCACTATTGCTGGAACATGGAAACAAGAATGAAATTTACACTGGAGATCACAGCATTGCATTTTTAATTACTTCACATCTTTAGGGAGTAGTTTATTTCTAACAGGAGTTTTTCTGGATGACCTCTTTAGTGTTTTGGTTTTTTAAAAAATATTTTAAAAATCTGGGGATCAATACTGAAACCTGGGCATGTGCCCTTAACCAGAATCGAACCTGGAACCCTTCAGGCCACAGGCTGAAGCTCTATCCACTGAGCCAAACCAGCTAGGCTAGTGTTCATTTGTTTTTAAACAAAGTAGCTAGAGGGAGGCTGATGAGACTGGCATGACACTTGCTGGGAATTATTTTCAAGTAGGAAAAAAGACCTAAAATGTGCTGACACGTGCTCATGCAAGGAAAGGAGATCCTAAATTTTCACAAAGAGATATAACCATCCCACTCATCTTGGAACCAGGCCACCAATTTTTCTCTCTCCTGTATGGTTCCTTTCACTTATAAATGCTCCCACCCCATTTTTCTCCTGTTAGAATCTTGCCCATCATTCATGGTGGACTCAATTGTCAAAGTTTTTCATGGAATATTTCACTACTCCTATTTCCACCTACTCTACAATCAGATATGCCCTCTCTCTTGCTTTGAGCCCTCTTTGCATGTTAATAATCACTTTTTGGCCTTCTTAGTGGTACGGTGTTATAGTTGTTTTAATCAAGGCAGGAATATCTCATGAATTTCATGAGTCCAAAAGCAGAAACTGAAAAACCACTCTACATGCCTGTTTGGTTTTCCCCTCTCTCTCCAGATAGGTTTTCTCTGCATTGACACAAGTACGCGGTCAGAAATGTCCAAGCCAATGCTTATATGCCCTCAATTCAGTGGGCAGCGGAGACCAATTAGCACCTTTGAATTTTAATTCAAATCCCATAGAGAGGAAATCTGATTGGTGCAATTTGGGTCACATGTCCCTAGACCTCTAATTCAATCAGCCCAGGCCAGAAGAGCAGGGTTCCCACTGAGGCTGCACAGATTCACTCTGAGGGTGGGGAAGGCAGACTAGTTCCCCAGGGAGGAAGGTGGGGAGCTGGCTAGACTGTCTGAAAGGTGTCTTTTCTGTTCAAAGTCTGTGTCAGTTAATTATCTCCTGTGAAAGAGAGATAAGCTCCTTAAGAAAAGGGACCGTGCATGTTCATCTTCATAAACCCATGAACCCAGCACTCTTCATTGCCTAAAGAAAATGCTACCTCTGGCCGGTTTGCTCAGTGGTTGGAGGGTTGGCCAGCTGATGAACGGTTCTAGGTTTGATTCCTGGTCAAGGGCACATAGCTCAGTTGCAGATTCCCCAGCTCTGGTTG